AGGGGAGGGGAGGGGAGGGGAGGGGAGGGGGAAGAGAATCAGACTTGGATAAATCTTGAGGGTCAAATCCTGAAGCTGAGGGAAGAGGCCGTGTCTCATTCCTCTTGTATCTCCCATGCCAGTGGTACCTTAATTCAGGGTGATAGCTCAAAAAATGTGCTCAATAAATCATTGAAAGGAAAATTCCTGATATGAACTCACAGTGGGATCATTATACTGTTTCCCCTTAAAGTGGAGTGCCTTTTGTTAAATTCTATACTATTTCTATGGGAACGATTACACTCACTTTATATATATCAATTTTCATTTCTTATGACCGTTCAATTGTACCATCCTGAGGAAGGGGAATAACAGGTAGCTGGCTTTTTTTGTTTTTGTTTTTCTTCTTCCCCCAACCACTTCTGCCAGGAGACTCTAAACACTGAGTGAGGTCAGTTTTATGTTTTGTGGTTATCACAACTTGGATCTTTAGAACTACAATATTTATACTCAAGTAACATGTAAAGATTGAAATCTACCAGTGATCTTTATAAATACAGATCTAATCATCTCCATCCTTTTGCCTCTAAGATAATAATGAAACTTTAACCCATTTCACAAGGTCTTTGGTTGTCATTTTTATCTCCAGGTCCAAGAGCAGGATCCTAGTGATATTCATCTGGGTAAGGTCACTGCCTACCATAGGCACTGATTCCTCAAGGCACTCAATGAATATGTGTTGAATAAATTACTGTCAAAGGAATGAAATCTATGACAAATCAAGGCATCATTAAATATAAATGGTATAATGTCATATCTATATTTAACTATATTTGTTGCTTAAGTATTGAAATTTTAAAATCACTTGACATGGTTTGAGTCTAGGCATTTCAAAAAACGATGACTATATGAAGATAAATAAAAGCTTCTAATATGTAGGAGGAGAAGTAGAAAGCTGAGAGATAAGCTTATTTAAATAATAATGGGAGAGGACAAATAAAATAATAATTTTTAAAGCTAAACATAAAAAAGCAAAAATGAGATTTCTATTTATAAATTAGAAATAATACTTTGGTCATATGTTCACTTAAAACAATAGTTAAAAAATATAGTCTAGTTTTCAAATGTCAAGCTCACAGATAGAATGCATAATCTAAAAACTCTAACCAAGCTAAGTGTTTCAGGAACTATATTAAAACACAGTTTAAATAGCAAAAAAGAATCCAGATTAGTGTTCAGTAAAATAATTTTAAGATATATGTAAAATCTATACATAATAGAATTTTAGAAATTAATGTAAATTATCCTAAATTCTAGATAATTAATCATGTTTTAAATGTCTTTGTGTTCAAACATTCTATAAATACACTACCAGTATTTTTAAAAATCATACCTGCAAAATAGTTGTTCTATGGAACTTCAGTGCCCCCTTCTGGTGAATTTTAGCAAAGCACCCTGAGCAGTAATCTTCTCCACATTCAAGACATACCTTAAAAGATATTTTAAAAATACAATCTTATAACATGACTTAGAAAATGTTTGTGTAAAGATGTTATCACTACTATCTTTATTTCTCCAATTATATACCTAGGTGTCATCAGAATTCAGAAGTCCAAGGAAACTGGGACAACCGTTTGTCCCAGTTAGGATTTAACTCTCAGAAAAACTAACTTGTGAACAAATTACTCCCATGGGAGTAATAAATATAATGGCTAGAATGTAAGTTTTATATGTGTGTTAGATGAATGTATGCATGTACAATTTTTTGAATAAACCATAAAACAATTGGCAGCATCAGGTCAAACTTCCTGACCTGGTAAAAAATAAATAGCACTATCTTTGGGTCAAAACTACTTCCATTTCAGTTCTTTTATCTTTCTGCATGGATTTATAGGGCACAATTAGTTTCAAATGATATGTATACTATTTGCCTCCAAAAATCGCCATACACTTCTTTGAATGGTACTCCTTCCCGGGTGATTATCAAAATATGGTTTTAAAAGTATTCTTAAAAGATTCCTCAAATCAAAGTATTTTTTTAAAACCCTGGATAAAACTGCATCAAAATGCCAACAATGTTTATGACCAGTGAAATGATTATATTTATCTTCCACATCATTTATGGTGTAAATATGTAATTTTTTTAAATTTTCGGATAAATTGAAAAATATGATGTACCTATATCTATGATGGTACCAAGCAAAACTGAAAGTTAAGAGAAAAGAAAATGGAATTTTTTACTGCAAGTGAAATTACTGCAGTGCACTTGTATAACCACTTCAACATTCTACAATCTGACAAAAAGAAGTGCAGATGGCAAAGATCCCTCATTTTCTTGAGTTTGGCCCAGGCTAAGAACTGGTAGACAAATAAGAGAGCATAAGGACCAAGAGAGATGCTGTCAGAAAGTCTATGTCAAGGAGTTCACATTCCCTTTCACCCTTTCATTTCCTTGCCCCTTAGGGTGCCACCACCATTCTCCCCTCATTCCTCTGTCCTCGTAACAGGGAAATGTAAGCCGAAAGCATCTGGGGCAGACTCAGGAGAGACTGACCAAGCTCTTCTGCCTTGTACTGGTCAACGGTGGGCTGAAACGTGTGATAGAGTGACGCCTCTCAAACTGAAAGGGGCACGGGAATCACCTGGGATTTTGCTGCAATGCAGACTCCGGTTCAGGGGGTCTGAGGCGCCGCCTGGGATGCTGCATTCCAGCAAGCTCCCAGACGGCGCCATGCAGCCGCCGGTGCACAGACGCACACTGAGTAATAAGCCACTAGAATGTATGACATGGGAGAGTAGACTCAAAAACTCTTATTAAAATCCAATAGAAATTTTAAGTCCATTAATTTTAAAAAATTGTACTAAAAGTCCCCATAGGATGACATAGTTGCCTACAATAATGTAGACACACTTAGCAGATATAAAATGCTTAGAACAACTCTACAAAAATTTTAAAAAGTGAGAAACTGTGTGTAACTATAATGAAACTAAAAAGGAAAGCTAGAATCAAATAACAATATTCAAAATGTTTAGTGGACACATGTTTCATCTCATAATCCTCATAACAACCCTCTAAAGTTAGAATGGTCACTGTATCTCCATTGTGAAGATCAGGTAATGAAAGAAAATAATAATTAAGAACTTGTCAGGTAGCATAGCTAATGGAGCCAGGATTTCAACCCCACATTCTGGCTCAAAGTTCAAGCCTTTGCCCTCAGCCCACATTACTAATTATTAAATCAATTATTGACCATTAATTGCAGCACTAATCATTTATTTTTTTAAAAAGATAAAATCTGCACTAAAATAAAATCTAATATTTCAAATGACTGCATATTCTGGTATTTGTTAAAACCCAAATATATTTTTTCAAATGTGATCAGCTATACGGCACTCAATTTTTTATTTAAGAAACTTAAACACTATCCCTAGTGTGGGAACTAGTCCTACCCTTTCAACTCTTGTTTCAAGAGCTATAGTCTCTTAGAGAAATGATGATAAACACAGTATCTACATTCATAATTTTTCATGTGTAAAATCAATTAAAAAGGTATTAATTCCACATATATATATGGTAGTATCCTGGTACTAATGTAGATTTCAAAATGTATTGTGCCTAAATTTTATTTTACGTATCTGCTAATATTTTAATAAATTTCTCATAAATATTCAGCAATGGCTTTACAATGTAATATAGAGAAGAGAAAATCAGTTTTAAAATATAATTCTAAGCCAAGTATTTGTTGACAACAGACTTTTGATGAAAGTAGCCAAATGGACATTGTAGTCAGGGAAGATCAAAGCTCGAGTACCAGAGTAAGCTTATATTTTTTGTTATACAAGCATATTTGGATTTAAATTGGGTTAAAATGACCACCAACTGGAAAATCTTTTCAGGCAGTTTACATAACTAGCAGAAACATACTAAAATCATAGATAAGCACTCCATTCCACCACAGATGCTTCTTCGGTGATGGAGTACCAAGTGCAGTTTCAGCAAACCTCCTTTTAATTTATCAAGCCTAGATCAGCCATACTAGGCCTTCAGAAATCATTTGAGTTTAATTATCCACATTTGCCAAATTAATATATAATTTTTAATTATTCATTTCACTTTTGTCTTGTAAAAACAGCCTAAAGCTACTGTAACTTCCTTAAAAATAAAAAAAACTTAGAAGTTTGGGATTTTACTTTTACCATCAATGTATGTGAATGCACAAGGACAAAAGGAAATGTGCCAACAGCAAAGTCACACAATTGATTGGCTCCTAACAATATACCAGGCACAGTGCTAAATATTTCACATGCACTAATCTGTTATCCTCAATAACTCAGACGTACAGACTACTGTTATTCATATTATTCCATTTTACAAATGAGAGAACATAAATATAGAGGAATTAAGTCATTTGCTAAATGTCACATAGTTAATAACCGATAAAGTTGATTCAAACCCCCCAAACACAGGCTCTTAACCCCTACCTGAATTTACAATTTTCCCTGATGAAGATCCTATCATAAGTAGAACGGTTGACTCTAATTAACCAATCTGAATTACCATCTAGAATGATGGAAGCTAAAAAGCCAGGACTAACCTCAGAGTTTAACACTACCCAACTCTACTGCATGAGATCTGCCTAGCTTGAATACTTAAATAACTTGTTGTGCTTTGACAAGTATATTATTTTCACTTCAGATCAAAGAACATCCTTTATGAAAATCTTAGTGACGTGTTTAAGTATGTTTAGGGCCTAAATCCCTGCTTCTATACACCACAGTTTTCAGGCAAATCAGCTTTTTAATGCACACATTGTCACTCCCCTGCTTTCCAGCAAAGACGTACGCCATTTATCCTGTCTGGGATGTCTTTTTCTTGCATTTTCTATTCTATGGAGAAACAGATCCTTCATTGTCAGGTCAAGTCTTATCTACGTGTGCAATTTTGTTCAGATTCTACGGCCTTTAAAAAGTGCTCAACATAGAATAGGATTCCATAGGGACACTGACTCATAGCTACCACATGAATCCTTTTTTCCAGATCATGAAACATGAGCTCCAACAATTAAATTTAACCAGTAAGTCCCTTTTACACTTCCAACTTCAAAACTATTAGCATTTGTTTGTATTTTTAAACATTTCTACATAGGTCCAATTGCCTAAGATTCTTTAAATTACTGTCCACCGTTATATTCAGTAAAATAGTAGTACGATGTAATGGTGAGAGCATTATACCAACAGGCAGTTTTACATTTAATGTTGTTATTAGCCTTTCATTAGACTCACAGCACTCTAACTCTTTGAACCCAGTTAAAACTGCCATTAAATAAGGCTAGTAAAAGAGCCTTACATCAGAAGTAATTATGGCTAAATTCTCTGAAACTGCAACATACTCTACAATATTAGTTAGAATCATTAAATTCTTTGGGAGAAAACTGCTTCTTAAGTATGTGGGATATATTAAATTACAAAAGGTATTGGAATATCTTCAATACTAACTGAAAGGAAGATGTCTAAAGTCTACACTGCAGAAAAGTTTTAAAGAAATGACTCACTCAACAAATATTTGTTAAGTGCCTACTAAAGTGCAGGCATAAGCGGTGGGCCCACAGCAGTGAACAAAATGAAATTGCCACTCTCATGAGGTTTACGTTAGAGGTGGCTGGAAAATAAACAAATATGCATCGAAGGGGAATAACTGCTATGTAGATGAATGAAGAAGCTTCACAAAACTAGGGAGTGAAACTCAGGTGCTGCATAAGTAACATTTGAGTTCACCTTTATTTATATGAGGGGATGGGAGGGGGCTAGTTTGTTGGAGATAAAGTTCAATTTTGAACATGGTAAGTTAACGATTCCTGTTAGATGTCCAAGTAGAGATACTGATTAGGCAGACTGAGTTGAAAGTTCACAGGAGAGGTATGGGTCAGAGATGGAAATCTGGGAATGGTCAAAGTAGAGATGGTCTTTAAAGCCAAGAGAGTGAGTGAAATTACCTAAAGAGTAAGGGTAGGTGGAACAGAGAAGAGGACCCAGGACTGAGGCCTGTGGCACCCCGATGGTAAGGGGTCAAGAATATAGAAAAACAACACAGAAAACTGAGAAGAGATNGTAAGGGTAGATGGAACAGAGAAGAGGACCCAGGACTGAGGCCTGTGGCACCCCGATGGTAAGGGGTCAAGAATATAGAAAAACAACAAAGAAAACTGAGAAGGGACAGGCAGCAAAATAAAATGAAACCAAGACAGAATGGTGCTTCAGAGAAAGCCAAGCGAAGAGTCACAGGAGAGGAGAGGGATTCCACAGCAAACATCACTAACAGAGTAAGACAAGACCTGAGGATTGACCGTGCATTTAACAAAGTGGGCGTCGCTGGTGACCTTGACAGGAGCAGTTACTGGACAGCAGTGGAAACCCAATGCTGAATGGAGAGGGTTTAAGAGAGAACGGGAATTTAGCAATTTTACTTCTGGGTATACACCCCAAGTAATTAAAGTAGGAACTTGGATAGATATTTGTACACCCATATTCACAGCAGCATTATTCACAGTAGCCAAAAGGTAGAAGCAATCCAGTGTCCATCAATGGATGAGCGGATACACAAAATGTGGAAAATACATTCAATGGAATATTAGTAAAAATGAAGAAACTTCTGATTCATGCTACAACATGGATGAATCTTGCAGACATTACATTAAGTGAAATAAGGGCAGTGCTATATAGTGATAAAAGAACAAAGACTTTATGGTTCCATTTACATGAGACATCCGATTGTGTAATTAAGGAGACAGAAAAATGGAGAGGGTGTTGCCAGGGGCTGAGGGGAGGGGGAACGGGAAGTTATTGCTTACTGAGTACAGAATTTCAGTTGTGCAAGTTGAAAAGAGTTCAGTGGATGGATGGTGGTGATGGTAGCACAGCAATATTTACCCAATGCCACTAACTGCACACTTAAAATGGCTAAGTTCCCATCTTATGGTGCATTTTACAATACTTTTAAAGTTCATGAAATTGATACCAATGAAAAATTAGAGAACTGTCAGAAAGCATTCTTCTTTGGACTTTTTTTTTTTCTCAAGCTCACTTCAGAACTTTTAAGGAAAGAATAAATACCATCATGGGAGGGAAGACTGCACATAAATGTACACAGCAGCCTTAAACATAACAGAGGAAAAACTGAAACTACCCAAATGTCATTCAACATGTGAATAAATAAACAAATTTTGGTGTGTCAATACTATGGAATACTACTCAGTAATACAAATGTACAAACTACTAATAAACGTAACATGAATGAATCTCCACATGGAACAAAAGAAAACTTACCAAAAATATATATATACAGGGATGGGCAAAAGTAGGTTAATAATAAATAACAATAATACAAGAATAAACTCTGTGTTTTGTGTACTAAAAACTATAAATTTACTTTGCCCACTCCAGTTTATATATATACCTTATAATTCCATTTACATAAAGTCCAGGAATAGGCACTACTGAGTGTAAGGTGCTAAAAATCAGAGCAGCGATTGCCTTTATGGTGGGGATGAGCTGGGAAAGGCACAGGGGGACTCCCAGGGGTATTCTATTATCTTGATGGGAGTGTAGACATCTGTCAAAAGACATCGAGTTATACACTCAAGATCTGCCCGCTTCACAGTAAGTAAAATAAACCTCAATTTAAAAAAGGGAGAGAGAATGAGGGGCGAGAACATGATGACAGCAAGTATAACCAACTCTTCAAGAGTTACCAAAAGAGGTACGGAGGAGACGTGGGAGTCAAGCAGAAGGCTTGCGGTTGGGGTTCGGGGTGTGGGTGGAAGGTTGCAGCTGTGTGCGCGCTGACAGGCAGGGTCCAAGGCGGAGCTAAGCTAAGGCCCTGCCTCGCAGGGAGAGGGCCGGGCCTCCCGGCGCCTATGGGCCTCCCGGGCGCCTATCTCGCCCTCGGTGAGTCACGGAGGAAAAGGAGCGGCTGGGAAAGCGCCTGAGGCCCTGCGTAAGCGCCAGTCCACGGTCTCATGGGAGGGCACGTACCAGGAGGGCAGCTTTGTTCTCACACTGTCCGCAAGCCTTCCCTTTTATCTTGGGCTTTTCACTTCCAGGAGAACTTGCCGTTTTATAATTTAGTGGTTGTCTCACTGGCTCTGGAAGAAAAAAAGTCATACTAATCACTTTAAAATACGATGTTTAGATTTCCAATTGATAAAGCGGTGAAAGTATGCATATTTCTAAATTCTCAAATAGTATTTAAATATTAGTTACCCGATAAGAATGGCATGTAGTCAAGTCTAATTCTCCCAGGGCCGGAGAGCCTGCATTCCCCTCACATGACTATAGGGCCACATATATCCGCCCATACCCACTCAGCTTAAAGCTCACTTAAACTGGACGTGTGAAACTACAGAATGTAAAAAGCGTTAAAAACTGTGCTCTTGGTATACTTCCTGTGGCATTCTGTCCCATCTGTGGATCAAACCGAAGCCCATACAGAGCATCTTCTATAGTAAATGTTATATACATTTCTGGAATTTCTTCTACCAAATCATCTTAACCATTCAAATTAAATGTGTTTACCCTCTATTAAAAAGTCTTATTTCTTCTGGAATTAGTATATATTCAAAATTAATTTTGGTTTTTGCTACTGTCAAAATATACTAGGATATAGAGGAATTTTTCAATATTCTCTTAATTTCCTAAAGTAAAATTTCAATTTACAATTTTATACTGCCAAATTATTATCCTAGTCAAAAGATTACATTAATAAACTTTAAGGACCAGTGCTACGAAAGTCCTCACTATGAAAAATGCTATATTATGGTCATATTCAAAGTTGACAGTCTCTGAAAATAAATTAAGGCACCCCCACCACAGACAAACATAAATAAAATGTATTTTGAGTATCAAAGATAAAGAGTCATCATTTGGGGATTGGAATCTTTATATTGCATGAACACTTCTAGCACTTCAATTTTCTATGTAATTCAGATGTAAAAGAAACTGTATGTGTAGCATCTAATAATACAGTGGTAAACTGTTTACCTTGAAGCTGCTCCTTCAATAATTTTAGTTTCACTTTCCCAGGAGAAAGCTATATTAATGAAATAGATACTATTTGTTAGGCATACATTCTCTTATTCAGAGAAAGTTTAAGTCATTAACAAAAAAATATTAGAAAGTTATAAAATTTTGGTGCATCTTGAACAAAACAAACATTTTGAAAGAATAATATAAAATTAATAGGAGATCATCATTAAAGCATAAAGAAACCTTTTAATTAATAAAAATTTATAAAAAAGAAAATAACTTTTGAAAATATATAAAAACCAGTCTTTTAAACATGCCATAAATTGTTAGGGAGATTAAAACATCTTATGTTAAACAAAAATCATTATATATATCATCACGAAATGATTTTAGAGAAAGCATTGCTATTCAAATATAAAGGCTTTCTACCTCTGATCTTTCTGAGAGACACAAAGTCTACTATGTGTATAGACTGATCTGAACTGAATTCTGAGTTACTCTGCTTATATAACTGTAGAAGCCAATTTATTTGCCCAATTTAGAGAGCCACGTATTTAAGCATCATAGATTTAACCTTCAAATATGTTATTTGTGTTCCCTGACTTTCCCAAGTTGTAGCCCAAATAACTGGATAAATAAGACTCACTGCTAGGTATTTCAGATAAATATTCACTTAAAATCCTAGGATCTTAAGATTTAAAGAAATAAAACAGACTTGCCAATTGCCCATACTCGCCTTGGTCTTATTAAAACCAACATTCAGAGTACACAGACGAACATGGAGGAGCGTGCGCATTTACAGACACTGCCAATTCGTGCCTAGTTTTCAATTTGCAATTTGCACGCTTGGTTGTCCAATTTGTACGAGAATTTGAGAACAATTGTTGCTTCTATGTCTTTGGCTGTGCCAACTGCAGCCATCTGAAATTTTAGGCCTAATTGTTCTCAGTGAATGTAGTGGTTTTGCTTCAGAAGGGCATTTGTTCTCAAATTCTTTAAGTAGCTACTCAGATGCTCTGTGCCAAGCACAGCAAAAAAGAAAATGGGATTCAGATCATCAATTCTTAGTGAATCAAACTTTTATTTTTAACTTGCAATATTATACAAGTTACAGATAACTTAATCTCATTTTTTTATAACCAAATTACCCAATATTATCGCCTTAATGATATGCCTCACTTGCAATATGGTCAATGTGGTTACTGGCTACCTGGGGAGATGATTCGCTAAAGCAAACTGAACCCATTATTAGGGAAATTTTATAATTTCTTTTTGGTGTTGTGAAGAATATTTTTCTGCTCTATGAATATAGTCATATTTATTTCAAACATTCAAACTGCATAAAAATATTTCAATGAACAAACACCTAACTGCTATTTTTAGGCAAATAGAATTTCCTCCTAAGTCTGATTTTTTAAAAATATGTTTTTATTGATTTTAGAGAGAGAGGGAGAAAAACATCAATGTGAAAAAGAAACTAATTGGTTGCCTCCTGTACACACCCTGACTAGGGATTAAACCAGCAGCCCAGACACATGCCCTGACTGAGAATTGAACCAGTAACCTTTTGGTGCACAGAGCAATGCTCAGCCAACTAAGCCACACCGGCCAGGGCCTCCTAAGTCTGATTTTTATCTGTTTGGGAAAGTGCTGAGGGTGGAATAGGGCTGGACCAGGGATACACACGCACATACATTCATGCATATATACACATACATGCACATATATATGGCTCTCTGTATATTCACTTATATGTATATCCAAATTCCAGGACTTCAATATATGGAAGCCTATACTTTATTAACCCACTTACGTCTCCACCAGCAGATGCTGAAGGGGTGCCACTGGGGACCAGGGCAGCTTAGTGGCTCTACCACACAGACATGTCATCTGGGCCACTGGGGTTAGACTATGCTCTCATTACCTGCCTCCCTGGCATTCACAGGTGCCTCCAAACTCCCTTCAGTGTCCTAGTCTGCCAAGCTGGGCCCACACTCCAACAAGCCATGTTTTCAAATATTCTCATTCTTAATCCAGTTAGAGGTGTTCTGATGAAGAGTTTCCCACAGCTTCCTCTGCCTCACCCCTTGTCAAACAAAACCCCTAAAACTTTACCTTTCCTGCCACCTGTTCTCTTTGCCACCTTTCTGGTCTCAGAGAAAATGCATCCTCTGTCCCTTGGTTAAGGCTCCCTTAATGAACTGACTCTTCAAAGGCTGCACCCCCAGAAACTGGCACTGCTCTCATCTGCACCTGTAATCTTTACTCCACCTTTGTCAGTCCATCTCCCAACTACAAACTGACTCATCTTCTCCCAGATTCTGATCCCATTAAACCCCTGAGAGGGCATCCTCTGTTCTCATGTTCACTGCAACATTAGTCTTTACTCATCGCCACCGGCCTTCCTTTTTCAACCACTTGAAAATATTTTTGCATCTAATGACCCAATCATGAAACAAAATTCAGTGTTTCTAGAAATTTTCATTCTCCATAAATAGACATCTTAATGTGATTTTTAGTTGCTGTTACAATCAGTTTCACACCCATTATCTGACACATTGCTAAAAACTCTGTGAAGTAATTAGCAAGTACCGTTATGTGTANATGTGATTTTTAGTTGCTGTTACAATCAGTTTCACACCCATTATCTGACAAATTGCTAAAAACTCTGTGAAGTAATTAGCAAGTACCGTTATGTGTATTTACAAACATGGTGACATAAACTCAGAAAGTTCAGATGATTTGCCTAAAATCACAGAGCTAATGAAATGACTGAGGAATTTAGTCTAAACAGGGTTTTTTTATATTGGCCGAGGTAATTCTGCTATGAGGGCTGTCCTATGCACCGTGGGATGTGTAGCAGCACCCCTGGCCTGTAGCCATTACATACCATTAGCAAATTTTTAAAAACCCACAAAACAAAACAAACAAACAGCTCTCAGTGGTGACAACTAAAAATGTCTCCAAACACTGACAAATGTCTCCTGGTAGAGGAAGGGGACTGCCCCCTGTGGAAAAACACTGGGCTAAAACTAGACTCAAAACTTTTCCACTACACAGTGTATCAGACAGTGTATTGACTTCTCCATGTTTTCTATAAACACCCCCCTCTTCTACGAAATAGCATGACTTTGATTCCATTCTCCATTCTTTCTCTTCTCAAGCTCCCTTTACTGCAGAGCGGCCGAGTTTCCTTAGAACCAGCCTGAGAGCCTGCATTTCAAATCTTGGCCCTGAAGTCTGACCTTGAGCAAGTTATTTATGTGATGTTAAATTACTTCATCTGAGGAACTAGAAAAATGACCACTGCCTTTTAAGAGTGATAGAAGCACTTAATGAGATAAAATAGAAAAAGCAGCTAAACTGTTGACTGGTTTAACACAGACAGATAGCAAATATTAATGTACCTGAGCTTTACCCTTCACACCTGCCCTTCCTGAGCTTTGTCCTTTATACATTTGTTCCCCTTTCTATAAATTCTTAGGAACCACATTTACTCTCTCAGCTTCAACTAACACATGAGAATTCAAATAAAATCTCTAAAACTTTGAAATTTGCTAAAAGGGTAGAACTTAAATGTTCTGACCAAAAAAAGAGAGAGAGAGAGAAATATGTGAGGTGATAGATGAATTAACTCAGTGGGGATGATTCATATATATTGATATATATATTGAATCATCATATTGTACACTTTAAATGTCTTATTTGTCATTTATTTATACCTCAGTAAAGCTGGGAAAAGGAAGGGAAGGGAAGGAGGAAGGAAGGGAGAGAAGAAAGTCTAAGTCAATATCCCAGAACTTTTCTTCTAGCTTCCTTCTGTATTCTATCTCCTAGCCAACCCAGGCTGCAACATCAATTATATATTTAATTTCCTCCTTTCCTTTCTCACTGCTTTTTTTGGTTCCATATTTCCCTTTATATTTCTTCTGCTACATTTTAAGTTAGACTCTTCTCATCGGAATCTCTAGATACTTTTAATAGTCTCTCTGCCTCTATACCAGTGGCCTCCCAAGTAGCATGTATGCACACCTGAGGGAGCTCAGGAAAAGACCAGAGAATAGAAAGCAAACATCTAGTTATGTTTATATTATCCTTGATTAACCTCCATGTTTTGCTTTACAATTCACATGAAATATGTGTAAATAAGTACATATATAAATATATATATGAATTCTATTTATAAACAAATAAAGAGTTCATGAGTATGAAGCTATGCTCAAAATATATTCTTTCTGGATGTGATGCATGATCAAAACAATTTGGATATCATTTGCTCTATATTTATAAACACCAAACACACTGGATATTTGAACAAAATCAACCATCACAAATCATCACCTTAATCTTGCTGTCCTCCTGCTCCAAACTGGGGGAGAGGGGGGGAATTCCATTCACCCAATGAAAAAAATCAAGACCCCTGAGTCTGTGATTGAAGGCCTTCCACCTGTCCCAGCTCACCTCCTACACCCCCTTCTACAGCCCCCAACCCCCCATGCTCTCCTCCTTCAACTCAGTTACAAAGATGGTGGCGACTAGCATTATGATTTATTCATCATTTTTCTCGCAAATCTAGTAGACTGTCATATATTTGCAGAATGAAACTTATTTCTCAAGCACGGATGGTTCATACTTATNTATTCATCATTTTTCTCGCAAATCTAGTAGACTGTCATATATTTGCAGAACGAAACTATTATTTCTCAAGCACGGATGGTTCATACTTATTTACAGCAAAAATTGTATACTGATGTTTTCTAAAAATATTTTCATATGTGCATAGTCTTTCACGTAAGCTGAGGATATTCTGAAGGATAAAGATAATTCACTATATGAAAAAGAAGGCACTTAATAAATACTAAAGAATAAATAAGTCAATAATTACAAAGTCAGCACTTTCAATATATTATATTTACAATAACATCTGAAACATGGAGCACTGTAGCTCAGAAAGACAATAAAAATGGAAAGTGGATTATAAAACTTTTAATCTAAAAATTAAAAGAAATCTATTTCAGTAAGAAAATGACACTAAAGAATAAAATGCACCCTGGCTCATGTTGCTCCGTGGTTAGAGCATTGGCCCTGGCACCGAAGGGTACTCACCTGGGTTGCAGTTACCTGCGTTGCAGGTTTGATCCCCAGTCAAGGGTTCGATTCCCAGTCAAGGGTACTCACCCGGGTTGCAGTACCTGGGCTGCAGGTTC